CGTCGACGACTTTGATAGTCGACTAATCGTGGCAGCCCTAGTAGTGGCACAAAGTTGGTTGTCAACGCAATGAGCTCTCATAAAACAGGTGCTGTTGACATCTGATCAATCGTTGTGTCCTGGCAGCAGAGCGACTGATTTTATAAATGATGATAAATCTATAACGTTACAAAAATATGAAGATCTGAAACATACATTGCAGACAAAGCAGCAGCGTGTGTGTGTGCACATGAGAGGAAAAGCACTTATAGAAGTGTGGTACTATCCATACTGTATAGATGTGTGAAGCAGGAAAGAAAAGCAGCAAAAATTCTAAAATAATCATTAAGATACAGGAGAATTTGGTGGATTATAATCAAGTATCTCATTGAATTAATGTTTAAAGGGCAGTTTTATTTTCTGTTCTTTCACCTGCAGTCTCGGTGGTGTTTAATGGTCTGAGAGTAATGAATGATAAATGAAAACAGAATTCAAATGTAGGCTCATGTAAGTGCGATGTAAGGTGAGCAGGAAGTGCAAATAAGTTTACTATTTAAGGATCCCTTATTACAGTGTTATTTAATGGTGATGCTATTGATTGGCCAGTAGGTGGTGCCATTGTTCCTGTTGACGATGTTACGAGGATGTACCTCGAAAAGAAGTGAACCACCTTTGTAGTACAGAAAACCCAGAGTTAACCACGAAGATAAGACCATATCCTGTTTCATAGTACAGGCCTGTGTCTTTGTATAAATAATGAGACATTTGTGCTATTACTGGATTGTCATTTCATCTGTTTTGCTTTTCTGACTTACCCTAGCAAGGAGAGAGGCGACTCTGCCAGCCCGAAGTTCATAGTGACATTAGATGGGGTACCGAGCCCGCTTGGTAACCTTGCAGACTGTGAAACTGACCTGGAAGATGTGAGACCACCTGCGAACGTACCTGACGCAGCGAGCCATGCCCACAGAGAGCCCAAAGTCAGCGTCCTTCAGAGGTTACAGGGAGGCGTCACATCAGAAGGTGTGTGTGTGTGCTCTCAGCGGAGTTATTAAAGTGATATGATAATCAGCTATTTTATTTTTGTTTTGCATTTTAAAGCCAAGTTTTAGCCTCTTAGTCCTGTCCTTTTATCTGTTGACAGATGAGATGATGGACATTGACATGGCAGAGGAGAATGCGGTCCCTTTGAAAAAACAAAAGGTCATGGAGCGATGCAAGTTCTGGCCGGTGTGCAAAAGTGGGGATGAGTGTCTGTATCATCACCCAACAACACAGTGCAAGTAAGTAGCTATGTTAAATACATAAGAATGATTATTTAGGGTAATTTTTTTTTTCACTTTCAGTCATAAGTCCTGATTACATGCGTTTTGCTTTTTTCCTTAAGGACTTTTCCAAACTGCAAATTTGGGGATAAATGCCTTTTTGTGCATCCAAATTGTAAATACGACGCCAGGTGTACAAAGCCAGACTGTCCCTTCACTCATGTGAGCCGCAGGAGCACGGCTGCACCTCCTCCACCCAGACCAGGTACTCTCTCGCCAGCTTGACCTATGCTGGGTTTTCTTCTAGCCTCCTGTTCACTGATGGGATTCTGGCTAAATTCTGTGAGAGTGATTAGTAGTTTAAACATTTTCAGCTATTGTGGATCCACTAAAAGTTTCCCTAAATTACCTCAAGCAAGTTCACGTACGGTTACTTGATGAAAAACAAAACACAAAAAACTGGTGGTGTGCAGATAGAAAGTGAAGCTAATCTGTTTAAAGTTAGCAGGGGAAGAATGCGTTCATACTATTACCTTTTACTTGAATCTTCAGCCAGTTTTGTTGCATTATTCTGAATAAAGTAGACCTAACCTAAATGATACAGATCTGAAGTCTTTGCCGGGCTAATCTACACCTGTGATATAGATTATCTATTCATCAGGTCAGTATGTTGGTAAGGTCTGAAATAATCACGCAGAGTAGATCTTTGTTAAGTGCATTGACCCGACACTCTATCAGGCATCTAGTGCTTGTGTCTGTGGAAACCCCCAGTGCTTTTTTAAAAAAAATCTGATTAGCGAAGATAAGACAGGACCTTGCTGTTCCCTTTTAGACTAAAGGTGAAAGCGTGTGTTGGGCTTAGAAAGAGGGCAGAGAGTCTAAATGCTCCTCCCTGTGGGAGGACGGCCCTGAGAACTGGGTGACAGTACATTCACTTCTGTTGTCCTTGGTGTCGAGCTGACTTGGCATCTGCTGAAGTTGCATTCCCGTGTGAATTTAAAACTGTCTCACAAAAACTGAACAGTGGCCCACGTCAGTAGTCGAATGAATCATTGTTGATTTCCTCCCCAAAAAATTGTTTTTAATGATGTCAGTGTTACAACAAAGAAGTCCTTATTGTTTTCCCTCAAAGACAATTAATGTGACACTGTTTTTACGTATCCATAGCACTTCCATGTTTCTAAACTATCATAATCATCCTGATATCTTATCCTTGACCCTTATGTTTGCAGCAGTGCAGCAGACCCAGCCTACCAGCATCTGTCGCTTCTTCCCAGAGTGCAAGAAGATGGACTGTCCATTTTATCATCCCAAGGTAAAAACGCTGCACAAGAGCTGTTTTTGTACAACGCAGACTGATCGCTTTCAGATTCTCAGCGAATCTGATTTTTTTTCCCTTTTCTCTCCTTCTTAACTACAGCCGTGTCGCTTTGCTGCGATGTGTAAACGAGCCGGGTGTACCTTCTACCACCCGACCACAACCGTGCCTCCAAGGCACGCCCTGAAGTGGACAAAAGCACAGAGCAGGTGAACAGATAATGCAACTCAGATAAAGACCATAATTTAATATTTAATTCAGCATTATGTGTTTAATTTGATGTTGCACCTAATAAATACGGTCTTTCTCCCCTCGCAGCTAAAGTACAGAGAGTACGGCAGAAGCCCGACGGTCAGCGTTTGAAGCTGTGGAAAGTCCTTGTGTCTGTGGGCTGTCAATATTTCATTTACCGAATGTTTCAGTTTGTTTTAATGTATTGTTTGGAGTGATTTTAAAGGAAATAGTTTTTTAAGTTGAGGAGTCAAGTTTTTTTGTGGGTCATGCTGTCAAAATAATAAATACAGTTATATAAAAATCTGTTTCACATCATCATTTTGCTCATGCTATTCGTGTACTTTGGAGGGACGCCGACCTTGATCGGTTTAACTGAAGGTAAGGCAAGTCATACGTATCGTGCAGTAACATACACTGAAAAAGCATAAAACGCGAACATGTTTGACCTTTTTTTTGCTTATCAAAATTCTGCTGGAGTGACTCGGTGCTACAGTCTGCAGTTGTTTTTATTAAATACACACGGATCCAACCAGACTGTGAAATCTATACATGCAGTCAGTGAGCTAAAGACGTCTTCAGCACTGCAGCTGTGTGCAATAACACCTGCATCCTTCTGAAGTGTGAAAGCCACTTATTACCAATCATTTAAATACAGAAATAGTCCCAAACCTGCTCTCATTCACCTGGTGACTATAGACATATGATTGTGTGTCTTTTGGCCTGTGTTATAGCAGGATGGTGGAGGATATCCTGTGTTTATTTCTAAAGTTAAGTGTGTTTCTGGAGTTCTTTCCAAAACTTGCATTACAGGTGCCACTGAGCAATCTTAGTTGTGCACATTCATATGCAGATATCTGTTTATAGAGATTACCCTGTTAGTAATTGTGCTTTGGGTGTTTCTTAAGGTTTAAACTAAATTTGGCAATGTCTCAAATTCAAAATGTCTGTATAGATGTACTGGTTGATTTCTGATTGTGGAAAACAAGCTGACTAACCAGTAATAACGAGACATAAGTTTTGTGACTCTGAAAAGTATAAACATCAATGTTTTTGATCAGGATTCTGGATCAGGGATGTGGCACTCATGTGAATGGCTTGTTGAATTATAATCTGTGAAACATACATCAAACATATCAATAAGGAATGATATGGCGTCATATTGAGCCTAAGACAACATTCCTTGCAGAAGGTATAACCTGGAATCAGTTTTTGGCTTTTGTGGCTTTGTTTCCTTTATTTATCAGCTAGAATGTGTCGTTGACATTAACGGGCAGCTGAAATTGCATTATAGTTCTATAAAGATGTTTAAAGTGACCAAAGAAGGACTGGATTGAGTATAATGTAGGTTCAGTAACAGTCATAAAGGAACTTGCTGAACAGGGATTTCTTCATTTTATGTGCAATCCCTTTATAAATACTGTTGAATACAATATAGTGACAATATAAACAAAGACATTCCACATATACATCTCTCTCTATATATAGAGAGAGATGTATATGTGTATATATATATATATATATATAGAGAGAGAGAGAGAGAGAGAGAGAGAGTGAGATGAAAGAGACAGAGAAACACCGGAAATCACTTTATGGCAGACGATCACGTTTTGGTACAACACCGGCTCTGTAGCGGCTTCGTGATGACGTCACATGACTCACAGTTAAAAGCTGTGTGAGCGCGCTTATTTCTCGTCGGGTGCGGTGGCGCGTGCCTGTAATCCAAGCTACCGGGAGGCTGAGGTTGGAGGATCGTTTGAGCTCAGGAGCTCTGAGCTGCAGCGGACTATGCCGATCGGGTGTCCGCACTAAGTTCGGCATCGATATGGTGATCCTGGGGGAGCCCGGGGCCACCAGGTCGTCTAAAGAGGGGTGCACCGGCCCAGGTCGGAGACGAAGCAGGTCAAAGCCCCCGTGTCGCTCAGTAGTGGGATCGCGCCTGTGAATAGACGCTGCAGTTCAGCCTGAGCAATACAGCGAGACCCAATCTTTATACACATCATTATACCTGTCTCTACATCACACAGCAGCCTTATCAGACCTTCTTTGTCTTTTTCATTTACGTCAAAAACATTCACAAACCTGCTGCTCTGCTCGTCCTATACCACCTCCACCTGCAGCACAGCGGCAACTACAGCCTCCACCCTAAATACTCCTGCTGGCCCACAGGTGGAGACAAACTCAAAGTAGAACATTTATTCTCACAACTTTTTGCCTGGAACACCTGTTCAATTTAGGAAACATAAAATGGGTCCGCTAGAAATGAAATTACTTGTACACAATTCTGCGATTTGCAGCCTTTAATCACAAGTTTAAAAGACTGTCTTGAAATCAGGTGTAAAACCTAAGAATGATCTCAGATGCCTGAGTTACCAAATCACAATCAAACAGTCGCATCAAAGCACTTGCTACTGTAAGGTGAAGATCCCACCTTATTGTGGAGAAAAGGCCAAATAATTTTTTTAAAGGACCTTTTAGCAAGGACTTGGCGACAGTGGGAAGGAAAAACTTTCTTTGAACAGGAAGAAACCTCCAGCAGAACCAGGGTCAGGGAGCCACAGCCATCTGTTGTGACCAGCTGGAGGGTGAGGGGAAAGAGCAAAGAAAGCATAGAGAGACAGACTAAATCAGAGAGAAGACAAAACTTTAAGTCCTGCAGTAGTATGAGCCTACAGCAGCATAACTAATGGATGATTCAGGGTCACTTGAAAAGTTCTTAGATGACACCTTACAGCTGTTCTTAGCTGGTCTTGGTGACTTCCCTCATAAACTACCAGATAACATTAGTGCTGAGTCTCATCAGTGCTCTGGGGTCATTATTAATTAAGTAATCATTTTCTTCATTGTGTTTTATTCTGTTTCTGTCAGCGCACAAACATTTTTTTCTTCAGAACAAAAAACCCTCACTGTCTGGTGAACTGCAGTGACTCAAGTGACCCTTTAGGGTTTAACCCACTCATTGAACATTGAACATTTCAACTCCACTAAATAACAGATACTTATAAATAACATTTAAACACCACTGACAGAGAAGATTTGGCATAATCTTCATGGGCACAACCCACATACCTTGGCATGACACACACACACACACACACACACACGCACGCAAGTAAGTTCCCTGACTTTTACCTGACCAGAAATCTTCCCAGGCAAACAGCTTGTTTGACATGTCAACTTCCAGTTGTGCTCATTTGTTAGGAGAGGGACACTTTAAACCTTTAACACATCAAAAGCCCAGCGAGCCTCTGAAATCTCCTATGTGGGCGCAGTGTGGCCTTTGAGCTTCATTTTAAATATTTTGTTTTCAGCTGTATTTGTTGACTTTGAATAAAACATGGACTCTCAATGAGATCAGCACACAAACAAATTAATGACCTGGATGTTGGGACTGTTTTACCCTTTTGTTTTTTTCTTCTCTGCGGGGTGCCGATGACATCACACAAGCAGCGTTAGCCTGAGCAAGATAGCAAACCCCGGTCTTTTTAAACCACTCACATGACAAAAACCATCATTACACATCATTTTCCATCATTCATGAGTTTCATCAGCCTTTCTTTTATCTCACAAACAAGCTGCTCTGCCTGTCCTACACCACCTCCACCTGGAGGTTAGCCGCAAATATCAGTACTACAACAAATCCATGTGAGACGATTCCAGTTAAAGGACTGTTCAACGAATTAAGTTAATTAAAAATAACGATGAGTGACAGTGATGGAAATAAAAGAACAAATTATTATTTTTTTCTTCTTCTTTTTTTAATACCTACCTTATCTGACAGTATTGTTGTCCACACGTCTTTCATTTAAAATAACAGCGACTGACAGTCCTTGGTGTCAGTTCCCAGCAGGAGGAAGTGATCGCCTCATTTTATGATTTCACTTGTATTGCACAGTAGTTATGACAGATGGAAAATTACAATATTTGGACACCAACATTTAGGCAGTTCTTGATTTATAAGACTGACTCATGTCTTGAATGACCTAAAACAACTGCCCCACCCTCCCAGCCCTTCAAAAAAATACAATATTACAGAGTTCAGTCTTTTCGAAACAAAGACATGGCAAACAGGTGGAATATGTTTGAAACTCAAATTCTTGTAACATAACAGAAATCCAGTAGAAAACTCACTTGTTTTTAGCCCTTTACTTTTCAAATGTCGAAAAAGTTACTAAGTAAGTAAACAACGAGTGGCTGATACAATTCACGCCTGCATAACAGTAAAACTCAGAAAGAGTGGGCCAAAGAACAAGAAAATAAGAGCAATATTTCTCTCAAACTGGACTTGACACATCCACTGAAATGACTCATAATCGGCCTTTATTCTGAATTAAATATTTAACCGTTATTTGTCACGTTTGTCGTTTGCCTAAACCTCCCACGGTCATTTCCAAGGAAGGTAGACCACAAATGAGGGTATCGCAGTTTGCATTTGAAATAAATGGCCTGTCTGGGGTTTTTCCAAGTAAGGGAGTCCCGATGAAGAGGAGGGAGTATTGTTTAGAGCAGTGATTAAAATTCATCAAAACTGTCCTTACGAGCTGTCGCTTTTCTTTCTTTCTTTTTCTTTTTTTACGAACTCTTACTCACACTGGATGTTATGTGATCAAGTGCAAAGCTTGAGTTTAATACAAGCGCCATCAAGCCTTCTACTACTTCTGTGAGGGGCCTCACCGAGCAGCAGAATTAGTGCAAGACATACAAACAACAGTTATAAAGATATTTCAAAAGCTGTTACACATTCTTTAAATCATTCGCTCAACGTTTAAAAATTGATACGGCGGGATTTGGGGGTGGTTCTGAGCATCCCTACACTCCCAGCAACAATGGGTCATTGAGGGTACGGGCTGTACTGCGTCCAAGCTGTGAAAAACGATCTTTAAACTAATATGTGTTTGCCCTGGTTTAAGCCTAATTTGACAAAGCAGCTTTCCTCCTTTCTCTCTCTCTCTCTCTCTCTCTTTTGCAGCCTCAACTCTTTTGGACAGCGTTAAATGCCAAGTATTAGAAATGTCTGCCCTTGCCCAAGCTCTTCAGAATTCCTGTGATGGTGGAACATGTTTTTGTGTGGGAGGACTGTTCTGCCAAGCAAAGCTGTTTTAGTCCTGATTCTCTTTTTTTTTCCTCCTTTTTTTTCCTTCTTCTCACAAGAAAATCTTGTTCTTGCACGACCAAATGCTGTCTCGTGATGGGGGCAAACAAGAAAAGGACTAACGAGTAAAGGGCACCGCATGCCTTATATGAGCCAAAAGCTCAGTTTTAAATGGATTGCGTTGGACGCTTAAACAAAAGCGTGTGTGATTT